GTACTAACAATAACGTCGAGGGATGGCATTGCAGACTAAATTCTTCGCTTTATCATGTTCATCATCCAAATTTTTACGTATTTCTTAATAGTTTAAAAGAAGATTTTGCGTTCAATACGGCTATTATGACACAAACTTCTGCCACTGGTGCAACACCCTCACGTAAAAAGTTATATGTTCAACGAAATACACGCATTCTTGATTTGGAAAAAAGATATAAAGAACACAAATTAACATTAAATGAATTTCACGACCGAAGTATGAAACTGACTGGTATTAAAAAATTCTAAGTTTTCTTTTCTTTTTCTGTATTACAAAATATAAATTTTTACATACATATCACTTAATTAGTGTATATATCAATTAAGAAAAAAGTTGGCAAAACGAGAACCATAGATTTCTATATTTTTAGAAAAGTCGGCAAAACAAGAATATTTTTAATGAGTCGGCGAAACGAGAATACACCGTATATAACAAGTATCGACCTATATGTGATACGTTCGACAAAACATGTGAGAAGTGAAAAAACACATTTTTGTTTTCCAGTGAAGACACGCGTATATATATAAAAGATACGAAAAATGGAATAAGCTGAATGATAACTAGTGGCGTAACCTAGGTACGGCGGCCGCCGTACCCACTACAGAATTTGGCAGACACTACCTCCAAAAAGTTTTGGGAGACGGTACGGCCACCGCCGTATCTATAGCCAGTTTCTGGCTACGCCACTAATGATAACTTTAGAGTAAGTAAACAGCATTGAAAGAAAGAGTTAAAAGACATCAAGAAATTTGCTCTGTATGTACTTATTTTGAGATTAATCTCTAGTTGAACCTGAAATGAGTGCATCATGTTTCCGAAGAGAAAGCCGGATAAAACATATGTAATTTTACGTGCTCTATCTAATGAGACTAAAATGAGAACTTAGAGTTTGGTAATTAAGTCGAAAAGCGAGTTTTTGTCTTAATTAAGTTTTTCTTGAAACGCGTATATTTCTGACAATACGCGTTTCCGAAAACATTCAAACTAGGATAGAGCTTAAAATTTTATGTATACCAGCAGATTATCAGTATGTTTGTCTCAGTAATCAGACTGTGTACAGTTAAAACTTCTATTTCTGTTTTCGATGTGTAAATGAGCCAAGAACCTTTCAAAAGATGAATAATAAACATCAATATTTGAGAGCATTTTTAACCTAGAAGTCCGTCAGAGCAGTCCCAAAAAGGTTTTTCTTTTACCATTTAATGTTTCAGTCTCTGCTTCTCGGAGTACTGAAACATTTAAACACGACATCATATAATTATATAAACACCTGAAAAATTGTCAGTGATATTGCAAATAACTGGAATTTCCAGAAGTCCATCATATAAAATCGCCAAGGGATCCATACATTGAAAATCGCTGAGCATTTTTCATCATTCTAGAAAATCGAACTAGAAATTCGGTCAAAGAGTATTAGCCAAAGAGTAACGCATTACTTCTAGTTTTGAAAGAAAAGGGTTTAGATTCCAAATAATTTTGAAGGTAAGCCAAAAGCATTATTTGGAACTAAATTCGTTAAGCCGTGCTAGGATTGTGTCAGAACATTCCTACGGTTCTCTTTTCCATCACCATTCGTTTTGTCGTCATTATCCTTGCTTTTCTAGTTTGTTTACGTATATTTTTGTCATGGCATTCTTTCTGTACTTATATACAGAGTGTATTTGGGTTCAGAGAGAATGAGGTTTTCTGGTGTGTTTTTTTGCCTGTGTTATTTTGTGAGAAAAATAAAATAAAACATAACAATGGGGCAGCCAAACTTTCGTTATGACATATGGTCATTACCAGAACAACCGAACAATTTATATTTATTCGTATTCGCCAAGAACGATTCACCAGTCCCAGTTCCTGCAAGCAGGGACTACAGTTCTTTTGGAATTGGAAACTGTATGATATAGTTGAACTTCTTTTTCTAACCTACTAGCGTTTTATCTCATTTAGCATGTTAGTGTATTTTACGGTTCGATATAAGTACGACGGTTTACCTGATGTCGTTCCTCTACGTGCTTGTTTCTGAGCAAAACTTCGCAGATATACTAATAATCAAGATAGTAAAAACTACCAACATTCGTACTTTGTCTTTCAAAAATATAGACATTCTCGTTTTGCTGAAGTTCGTGATAGTCGAGTTTTCCTGGTAAAACCATTAGTTTGCGAAAATGTACTTTCGCTAGCTACACTTATAGCTGGTATTACTGGCCGGTTGATCAAGATCTTAAGAAGTAACGAACTAAATTCACTCAGCAAAGTCTACCACCTAATCTGGGAGTCGCTTTGAGCATATCTCTTTACAGTACTCACTCTTTAAAAATCTTATGTTTGCGAAATGAAATACATAATATGTCAACAAGTCACTAAAAGACACTGAGCAGTTTCCAGTTCAAAAGGAACTGTAGTTTGCGTTCACAGGAACTGGTGAACCGTTCCTAGTTCAGAACGGAAAGTGAAAAACCGCTTCCGCTATCGAGAAACTGCAGTACAAGGAACTATGAACTGTCACAGGCCTTTTTTAGTTTTGATATCTGTATTATTTTTCGTGATGTTGTAACAGCTGATTGCGAATACCTAACTCTTTTAGGGTAGAGCAGAAAAGTTAACGATTCGTTCAAGTTGAGTTGCGTTCTTTGAATAATGAGACTTTATTATAGGAAATAACATTTATTCAAGCTTGCAAACATTTTTCGCGCGGCGCGATGAGTAATGCTACGTGTGATTGTAAAATGGAATGTGCGATTAACCATCGTCCCTTTAAGCACGGTAAAAGTTTTTATTCAACAAAATATTGTATACAAAAATCAATGATGTATTAATGATAGGGGAAATGAATTAGCGTCAAAAATCCACTCAATCGTCTCAAAATTTTCAAAAAGAAGTTATTGCTGTTCCTCCATTAGTTCTCCTTGTTTGTGGTTGTTGTTGTTGTCTAGTGACAGTTTCACTGGCTGTTAATGTCTGTTGAGTGGTTAATTTTGTCTGTAAATCAGTACAATGTTTGACTAAGAATCGTTTTAGTTCAGTTCGAAAAGTTCGTGCCGTCAGAGTGTAAATATAAAATGCAATAGCTCCATTTGTGTACTGTAAAAGTGTCGTGAGATTATAAATATAATTTTCAATAAACAAGCGAAATGAGCTTTTAGCAACATATTGACTAAGACCATTGTAAAATAGATAGATGGTGGTTGGTAAACTTAAAATGACATTGACGAGAATTTGAAATAGAAGCATTTTTAATAGTTGATAATCTTTTTGTTGTTTCGAACGAGTTATAGTCATGCGCATTGGCTGGACCTGTCGGCGATTATTTTTCAAATTTCTTAGTAACAGAAAACCGAAGAGTGCCATAAGAATTGGCATTGACAGACCGTTGACAATGACCGAATAGAAACTAAGAAACAGAGCATATGTACCAGGGGCATTAAAACAAATTCGAGATCCATTGGTCGTCTGAATATCATACCATATGAGATTATGTACACCGACAACGGCCCAGAACAAAGCCGTTAGAGGGATGAGTCGTTTAGCCGTTTTTTTCGTTGAAAAATTTCTTCGTTGAACATTCGTCGAACTTGACATATATCGATCAATGCATGCCAGTAAGATGTAAGTTCGTGGTAACATTAAAAAAACGCCAACGAAATAAAATCGAAGTTTACAGAACAGTGATGAATATGCCGATGGATCAATTTGAAAACCGGCATTCAACCAACGAGTCGCAGAAACCAAATTCAAGTAAAATAAGAATGTAAAAGATGAGGCGAAAAAGTACATGCTGCATGAATTGGAACGAAGGTTCTTCCGAGAAAAAACGATCATATTTAAAATACACCCTGCATTTCCGATTAATAATAAAAATGCAATATAATATCGAAATAATTGTTGTTGTACAAAATTCAGAGTAGCCACTATCTCTGTAGTATTCGCCATTTTGCTTTTTCCCAGTTCTTTAAGTGTCCTTCCGATGGTGTTTCAATTTCAGAAAATGAAAATGAGAAGAAAGTCGTACGTGATACATATATCTAATATACGACGGGAAATTATATTACCATTATCGCCTGTGGTAGAAAAATTAATTAGTAAGAGAAAATGTAAACTTAATCTTCTGAGTATTATGTTACTAAGATTTTATTTCGATTAACTGAAGCCAACCGAGAACAGTTTTAATATACTAGATGAACTAGATATAATGAAAAATTTAATAAATAAGTTTATCGATTAACAAGTTGGCCAGAAACAAAAAAATTTTAACAGTGTTTTGAATCTGAAGCCAGTTGTGTTGTACGTACCGCGATGGAGAAAAATGAACTGTCAGTTTTGTCTTCGATGTATCTTTTTTACTATTGATGCTAGAGCAGCTGAAACGTCATTCGAAAAAGCATATATTTTTGAACAACTCTATATACATAAAATGAATCCAGAAGACTGTTCAAGTTTTATAAACGTAAAAAAATTTTGTCGCTTTAAAATGTTGTGTTTCTGACTCATGAAAAATAACATTAAACTGTTGGAAATCCATCCTTTTATTCAACCGGGCGTAGTTGTAGGCCTCAAAATGCAAACGATTAATCGTCTGGCAGTGATGTGACTTCCAGTAAAAAGATTCGTTCATTGGAGTTAATATACCAGTAAAACAAAACTTTCTTCACCATTCGTTAATGGGAATCAAAATAAAGCTGAATTTGTTTAAGAGTAAGCTGACGGAAATTCAAAAATTGAGCATTATTTTTTTTTCAGTTAAATCATACAACATTTGAAAGAGTGTATAGAACTGAGTAAGAAAAGTTGGTTTTAGCTTTTCAAAACATTTTTTTTAGGTAGAACAATTTGAAAAACTGGAAGGCTCGAATATTCGAAAAACGTACATGTGTATGAAATAATTCAAACTTTTTTCTTTATCTTTCTTTTCAAGATTTCAAACTAATTTTTTCTGATTTAGCATCAAAAACTGATTCTAAAAATGACGTTGAACTACCTGCGAAATCATTAGTCTTTTGGTTTTTTGACAGCCAATATCGGACCCTTCAAAATGGTACCCGCTCATTTTGTCAACCTATCTAGTATTTTTAGTTAACAGGTGTAGCCAGAATTGTTATCTTATCTTATTCGTAAGGCAACGGGCTACTAAAGTATAGTTCGCTTCGTCACTGAGAATCGCTAAGAAATTTCACTTCTATAAAAATTTTCACCCTTTCTGCCCAAAGTCGGGCTAGTATTTCGCCATTTTCTCCATCAAAGTTTGACTTTTCGACAAAAGTAAGATCATATTCAAAATCAATATCAAACACTGAATGGAATGATGTGTGTTTCTAGAAGTTTCACAGAACTTCGTATTTTTCGAGTTTTTGAATTTTTTCGAAAAGCGCAGAGACCAGAATTTTGGATCGCAAATAGAAATTTTGCGAAAATTTGAAAACTCCCATCCTTCCTCTCAGTGTTTGATGTTGATTCCAGGGTCGTAAATTGGGTGTACATCCATGAAAAATAAAAATTTGTCCTTTCCTTCCCTAATAAAGTATCATTATTCAAAGAACGTATTTCTACGGAAAGCCCAGAACGTGGAGCCTTAAAATACTCATTTCCTTTACTGTTAATAAATACATCATTAATTCTTTATTAAAACGATTACGAGCCAATAATTTGATTAGAATATTCTTTTTTAAATTAATAGCAGCCATAGAGTAAACTGAAACCTATTTTATTAAAAAAGATCTGACGTTTTGACTCTTCATAGAGTCATTTTCAAAGAATATTACAGAACATTACTATACTTTACGCATGAAATGTTGTGAAAATGAAGGAGAATTTTGTCTGTATATATAAACAAAACTTATGAATATAAGCTAGCTAGACCTTGCAGATCACAATTTGCAAGGTTATATGGGTTGATATGATTAAAGACTCATTTGAATTTACGATATTGGTTAAGACTTTTCCCAAGTCATATCTAAAATTGAAAATGGTTTCGTTTGATGTGAAAAATTTATTCACAAGGTGAATAAATCGTGAACCCTTGCAAGGGTACCTTTGGCTTATACGATAGATCTCATCATTCAAAAGTTATATGGCACGTGTAAGTTATCTTGCATCAATCGGAAGAAAAATAATACAATATATGAACGATGTAAAGATAGACAGGATTTTCGTACTCTATCAGAATTAACTACCTCTGGAACACATTTCATGTTCGACAATCAGTTATATGAGCAAATTGATGGAGTCAGTATTGGAGAACCTCTAGTCGGAATTATTGCAGATATCTTCATAGCCCATTTAGAAGAGTCATTACATGATCGGTTATATAGTAACGGAGTCCGATTCTGGCGACGTTATGTCCATGATATTTTTACATTGATTAAGCAAGAAATCTCTATAGATAATATATTAGTATTGTTGAATAGCTTTCATCCCAGTATTGAGTTTACGTTTGAGATTGAAGAGAGCAATACATTACCGTTTCTTGATGTTAGTATCATCAGAACTGATTCCACATATGATACAACTATCTCCAGAAAAAACACATTTACAGGTCTAATCATGAAATGGCACTCATATGTTCCCATGTCCTATAAACGCTCAGTCATCAGTGGTATGATTCATAGAGCCATTAATATTTGTTCAACTTATTCACTATTACATGAGAAATTGAATATTATTCGCAAAATAGCTAAAAGTAATGTTTACCCTAGTTCTTTTATTGAAATGCTCATTGGGATAAAAATTAGTAAATGGTATAGCAAATCTGATACGTGTGTTGATACGGATACTGATAAGAAAAAGAAAAGATTGTTTATTGAAGTGCCAAGAATGCTTAAAAATGACTTACGGAAGTTTACAACTGAAATTCGACCAGATTCACAATTAACAATTATTGAAAAGCCTCCAATATCAGTTCAAAATTTCTTTGATTTTAAGGATAAAATACCAAATTATTTGAAATCTGATGTCATTTATAACGTTAAATGTAAAGACTGTAGTTCACAGTATATGGGTAAAACTAAACGACAAGCATGTAGACGACTGTATGTACATGAATTACCCAAAGATATCTATAGTTCTCAATCATCCCTAGTCGATGTTCTTGTTAAGCAAGAATGCAAGATCTTGTGACATTTCTTGCCCAAGAATCGTTTCTTGCGCATTCTTGCCTCTTTCTTGCCCCAAGAAAGTATTTTTCTTGCGCAAGAAAAATA